TGAACCGAATGGGTCGATTACCGAATAAGTCTGGCACCCACCTATAGCCTTCCTGCATACCAGCTGTGGACATTGCGCGTAAGACAGACGTAGTAGCAGTTTTCTTTCTCGCGCAGATGTCTTCGGCAAGGGCGGTGCTGCAGAGGACTGTGTCTGTTTCTTCAACCGCACGCTTACTATAAGTCTACTATGAATCCAGTTTGAAGCATGTTTTTAGGTATGGTGGACACTATTTTCTCGGATGTCGCACAACCTGATCAGGCTCGCATTGTCGCTCTGAATGCTCATAATTTCTTGAAAAATGGCGGACATGCAGTGATCTCAATCAAAGCTAACTGCATTGATAGTACCGCTGAACCGGAAGCTGTATTTGCTGGAGAAGTCAATAAACTGAAAGAGGAGAAGTTCAAGCCTAGGGAACAGGTCACTCTGGAGCCGTACGAAAGGGATCATGCTGTTGTTGTAGCTGAGTATCGAGCAAAAGGTAAAGGCAAGTAGTTTACCTTGTTGGTTGTTATTGTTGATTTTTTGTTGATTTGTGAATATTATGTCGATGTATAGCACGGTTACGGCATGTATGCTGATAAACAGTCATTGTTGATTTGGAGAGCAATGAAGATTTGTTTCATATTGTGCAGAGTTTGGTTTTTGGTAGTAGCCTTTCATTTTTGATGATATGTGTATGATGAAACAATCCATTTCCAGCTGTTATGATTGTTCTGTTATTTAGTAAAAGTATGCTGCAGGGTGCAATGACTAGGCAGGAGCCTATCCAAGCTGTGCAAACCTTTGGTCGTAAGAAGACGGCTACAGCGATTGCTCATTGCAAGAAAGGTCGAGGTCTGATTAAGGTCAACGGTCGACCGCTCGAACATCTGGAGCCTCAGATTCTTCGCATGAAGCTGCAGGTAGTTTCATTTAACACTTTACTTTGTTTTCTATTAGATGCTTTTATTTCTTGCCTGTCATGATTACAGTTAGCTTCAAGTTGACTTGTTCTTGGCGTGAGGTTCTGTGGCACTTTTTTGGCAGAGAATTTTTTCTGCTTGCGCTGTAATCGTTCCTTTTTCGCTAGTCTTCACGAATAATGTGAAATTGGTATGTATCACAGCATTGTGACACTTTTGCATGCAGTTTCGCGGGTATTAGTGTTACATTCTTTACTGGAAATTTGGAGCTGGAGTTTCTTCACACGTTTCACGCCCGTCTGAGTAACCGTGCGGAGTATCTCACATAAACAGTTTTGTGCTGGCCAGA